CACCCCGACCCCGACCCCGACCCGGCACCCACGGCCCGCCCAGCACCCCAGGCCCTCACACAACATGGCAATGTTTGGCTTCTTTTTCTTTTCTTTTTTATTGTGAAAATACTGTACAGAGGGGTTACAATTACATGGGCAAGATAACGAGTACATTTCTTATCAAGTGCTGTAGCCTCCTGCTTTGTTTCCCCTTCCCAGCCTCCCCCCATCCCCCCACCCCCGTCCCCCTGGCTTATTTTCTTCAGCCAGGCTCCCTGGGCCTTGCCTTGCTCTCTCAGGGACTCCTGGTAGGTCAGGCCTTTGCCTGACGGCGCACCCTGGAGGTCTGGTGATGCCCAGCTTAAGCCTGTTCCCACAAAGCCGCACCCGTTCTGTGCGGGTCTGTGTGACAGTACGTTTTCACACTTGGGATTCGTGCCCAACAGTGCAATTGCGAGGGCACTAGGGGGTGGTTGCAATTCATTTGCTTAAAGAACTGTCAAACTGTTTTCCTAGTGGCTCTGCTAGTTTGTTTCCCACCAGCCAGCTTGTGTGATCGGCTTCCCGCCTCCTCACCAGCATCCTCTGTCACTGTCTTCTTCTTTACTTTGGTCATTCTCCCAGGAATGTGTGTTTAACTTGTACCTAATTAATTAATCAATTGCAGGTGACAGTGACCATCTTTTTCTAGGCCTACTTGCGTCCATGTAACTCTAAGTGCTGGTTCCATGTTCTAATTGAACCCTTGCTCTCTTCCTGATGCATTTCGAGAATGTGTTATATATCTCGACGCTGTTCTTTGTAAGTTGACAACGTTCCCCTAGGGCTGAACATGCTAGGCATGCCAATAATTCCAGCCCTAGAAGGCTGGGGTAAGATCTACAGGTTTAAGGCCCTGTCTCAAAAAAAACTTAGAATAGTTTATCATTATTCCTACTTTTCAGGTCAGCTGTTGAATTTGGCTGAATGCTGTTCCTGTATCTGTTGATCTTTTCCCCCTTTAGCATGTTATTGCAGTGGGCAGCATTGATTTATTTTTGAATATGAATTGGTATTCAGTTTGCTGAACTTTCCCTCTGACTCTTCTGAGCCTTTGTTTCAATTACTGTATTTTTCTTTTTCATCTGCTGTTTCTTTGTGTAGGCTTTCTTGTTTGTTACAAACATATTTGTAATTGCTGTAAAAGAAAAGAACAGAAAAAATCACCATGTAATACAGGTGGCCTCAAACTCACTATCTTCCTGTCTCAGCCTGCTGGGTACATTGTGGGGTGGGGTGGGGGGCTGATTACAGAGCTAGAGCTGACTGATTTCAGAGCATCTGTATCATGGCTGTTTTAAATGCTTTTCCAGAGAATGTCTCTGGCACCTCTGGAATGGCCTCTGTTGGTGGTTCTTGTTACTGTTTGAAATCTCCCTTCTTCACAGGGGGACATGGAATTTGGGGTTCTGCTGTGATCTAGGATTCCGTCTCATTGAAGCCACCTGGTTGTTTTTTGACACACTCTTGTGAGGGTGCTCCCTCCTTATAAGGCTGTCAGAGGCAGAAGTGCAGGCTCCACTGACAGCGGCAGCGGCTTACCCCTGACCAACAGCCAGGCTCCTGGGAGTGAAGCCGGGCATCCACTGCACAGGAAGCTAGAGAGTGGAGATCTCCCGGTCCAGCTCTCCCTGGTGGGAAAGCCCCAGGCTGCACAGGGCAGAAAGAGCAAGGCGGTGCCAGGGGCTTCAGTCCTGCTGGGCTGCTCTGTCCTGGCTGCAGGCGGTCAGGATCGGGCCTGGCTGGGTGTGTCCAGTGGCAGGAAGAGCCATGCCAGGATCAGGGGCCCTGGGGTCTGCCCTCTCTTGCTGAGTGACACCGGGGGCTTGGTCACACTGTGGGCTGCAAAGGGACAGCATTGCCCTGGCCCCGAGTGGCTTCTCGCTCCAAGGGAAACCCTCAGCCGTGAGAACCACAAAGGGAACTCACTGCGTGTGCGACCTCCTCTTCTCCCCCAGCCCAGCTATGGACGTGTGTGTGCGCGCGCACGCATGCGCTGCATGTGGGTGCGGCTTAGTGGAGCCTTTCATTGGGCTTTCTGGATAGTTGGCTGTGTTGATGTGTGAAGTGGGCAGGCTTGGGCCGTTCTGAGCAGGGTGGCTTGGAGGGCAGTCAGGACCTGGACTCAGGGGTGGGGGACGGGCCGAGGGAAAGGAGGCCGCGAGCCACACAGCAAGTGCTCAGCAAATACAGTGAATCTGGAGCGGACAGGAAGATGAGCAGAGCAGTGACAGCAAGGCAGGGGCAATCCAGAGGGCTTCCTGAGGCAGTGGCCTGGCAGGAGGAGAGCTAAGAGTGTGCACAGAATAGAAGCAGAGCGGCAGGGCCGTCAGTGGGAGCGCGTGCCTGGGGACCCCTGCCGACCTTCGGTTGCTTTTTCCAGGGGGGAAACGTGATGAGGAGCTGATTCTGCCCATCAACTCTTCTCTGAGTGTTACTCTGAGCCAGGACCAGGTGAGTGGCACAGTGAGTGGCTGCTGAGCTCTGGCCACCCTGGCGCTAGGGTGAGGCAGTCTTCCCACACGGGTGGGGCCCTGGACAGCACCCCCCTTCACCTCACCCCTGCCCCCAAAGATCCAGGGCCTCCTTGGACGGCTGTGTCCCTTCATCTAGAAGTCTGGGTCCTGCCTGGGGCTGGAGCATGGGCTGTGCCCCGTGCTGTGGGGCCAGCTCACCGGCCCGGGCTTCTGGGCTGCCAGACGCAGGGCCTGCCTCAGCCCCTCATCTCCTGCAAGCGTGCCCCTGCGATCGAGGGGATGAGCAGGAAGGGGTCCTGGTGGGCGACGGGCAAGCGCCGGCCTCAAGGGCCCTGGGTTTTCCTTCTCAGTTAAAAACCACCACCACGGCAGCCATCAGCACGGACTTCACAGAGGACCGGATTTGGCTGAATGGCCGGGAGGAGGATGTGGGGCAGCCACGCCTCCAGGCCTGCCTGAGGGAGAGTAAGTGGGGGCAGTGCAGGCTCCGCCTCCCCGCCTGGGGGGCAGCCCGGTGGTGTCCATCTCTCTGTCCTCTGCCCTCTGCTCCCCCAAAGCCCAGCTGCAGGCTCCCTGGGAGGCTGTCCCAGAGGCCGGCAGTAGGTCTGCTGGCGGGGTCACCCATGATCTGTGTCCTGCAGTCCGCCGCCTGGCTCGGAAGCGGAGGGGAGCAGGGGACGGGGACTCACCGCCCCTCAGCCTCAGCTACAAAGTACACGTGGCCTCCGTGAACAACTTCCCTACGGCTGCAGGCCTGGCCTCCTCCGCAGCTGGCTACGCCTGCCTTGGTGGGTGCCCGGGGGGGGGGGGGGGGGGCCTGGGG